TAATTTCAGAACATGTTAGGTACACATATATAATGTAAAATAAGAAGTTTATTTTGAAATTTAAAAAAAATTGCATATACTTAAAAATAATAACTACTATTAAAACAAAAAGAATCACTTTCCTTTGTTCTTATCAAACAAATGTATAATGAGTTCTCCATAAAATGTGGCACTTGAATAATTTTTTAGATTGTTACATGTAATTAAGTCATTTTTAAAAAATTGTTTCATATGTAAAATTTTAAATCATTGATTTGTTGAACATCCTATTAAAAATCATTTAAAGCTAAACTTCAATAATTATTCATAATAAAATCAATACCACACAAATAAATAACTAACATGTCATAGGAATAGTGTTTGGAAACATTTGAAAAGAGGACAGAGCACCCTAAAACTGTACTTATTCAAATATTATGTGAAAATATTAAGCAAATTGAGTAATTAGTTAATAAAAAATTGTTATGAAAGATTTCAAAGAAATCCTCTTAAAAATTTAAATTGCATGGACAGAACGGTTTATGTCTTTTGTTTGCTTTTTTTTAGCCAAAAAAAAAGTCATTTTATTGATATTTAGGGGGAAAAGTTAACACTTACTAATAGAAGACTAAAAAAGAAAAACCAAAAAGTAATAAGCCTTTAAGAGAAAGTTGTTCATTTTTCAACATCAAATCAAGTGATTTTAGAGCTACACAAGTTGCTACAATGTTCTCTCTCTTTTTTATTAGTTGTGGTAAAATAAAATGCTAACTTCAATTATTCTTATATACCAAATATCTTTACTTCTTGTTTGTCCGGCCTGTACTTTGGAGTCATACTTCATGATGTTATGTGCACCATTTCTTCTTAGTCAACTTATTCATCAAAATAAGTAAATATACAATTAAAGAAAACCAAACTCAACAACCTCGTCAAAATTAATAACAAAAAGGACATTATGTGGGGCTTTACATAACATTGAAACAAAAAATACTTATTTGAGTGGCTCTGTTTTTGGTATTTAGTAGAGAACAAACTAAGACAAAACTGTAAGTTAAAAACTAAAATATAACATGAAAATATATGAAAGAATCAATATGTCCCTCAATTACTTAAATTTCAGCACAAACACAAGCATAAGGCAGGATAGATTCATGCTTTCTCCTCACTCCATGTCCAGAGGATTTTGGTTTGAAGAGGGACGTGTTGGAAATTACAATACAATTATCCATGTTCCTTAACATCTCTACTTTTTAGATTTAACTGACCCAGAAAAAGAATACATGATAAATAAATCAAAACCAAAAGTATGCAGTTTATCTTCATTTATGTATGTGTAGTAAACATGATGGTATCACAAGTAAACTCAGTAAGTGGTATATTGCTACAGATAAAGCGTTTTCCAAATAATTACTCAAATCTATCTACTTGGTAGTAATCCTGGAACTCACCCTGGGATTTAAAATTAAACAAAGAAGGAAGTGGGCGACCATTAGGAAGAAGTTCATCAAAGAAGCGATGAATGCAAGCCTCTAACTGCAGTATCATAAAATAGTGAGTACAAATAGTATAACAAAAATATTCTTTATCCATGATCACCACAATGAAAAAGACCAACGTTAAACTTACAGCAGTGCATCGTAAATTAGGAGATTGTGTGTTTGTCCCTGATACTCTATTGAAAGTCACTCGAAGAGCAAGGGTTTGCTGGTGAGGAAAAAAATCAGAGGGAGTGATAAAAGATGGAGTCTCTTGCAAGGAGTGAAAAGTCGGAGCGATAAATCAGCAACCGATGGTAGGTGGTGGTGGGGAGAAGTCGGAGCAGTCCTGTCGACAATAGAAAGAGGTAGAAAAAGGATGGGCGCACAAAGTAATGGACATTGGACAACAAAAGGGAGAGGAAGAAAACGTATAGGATTGGAAAAGCTGATGAGTATATAGAGGAAGAAAACGTACAGATTTGAAAAAAAAAAAAAAAAAAAAAGAGATGACCATGTGCCTCATTAGTCGGTTCAAAGCCATACGCCAGGATAAGCTAAAACTATTCATTGCTACAGGTTTTTGAGTCTGGAGCTGGCACGGTTTATGGCTTGGTTAGAGGAGTATTAGGAGATATATTGACTATAATATTAGAATTGCTAAATATTATTTTATTTAATTTTTTTATGAAAAATATAATAAAATTTTTTTAAAATGTAAAAATGATAATTTAATTCCTCAAAAAATTATAATTTTTTTTAAAGTTTTTAGAGACTTTTTCATCATTAATAAATTTATATAAATTATTAAATTATCCTTGTTGAAATTAAATAATTCACAATTTTTTTATATTCATAATTTTGCTTTTTAAATTCACAACGATACAACAACAAATCACAATTTTTTATGTTAGATTTCTTATTTACTATTGAATTATTATGAATATAAGAATGAAAGTTATGAATATAAAAAGAAAAGTTGTGAATCATTTATTTTTAAAAAAGATAATTTGGTAATTTATATAAATTCATGGATTAATGAATAAATAAGACTCTGAATTATTGCTTGAAAATTGCTCTAAATCTTAAACTCTTAAAATATACAAAATAAATCCTAAACTTTTAAATTCATAACAAAATAAACATTGATCGTTAATTTTTTAACACCGTTACTATTCACATAAGTACTATTCAAGATTTATTTTTTTACGAATTTAACCCTGACTGTTACAGTATCCACGTGGATAATAACGGTGTTAAAAAAGTTAGTGGTCAGGGTTTATTTTATTATGAATTTAAAAGTTTAGGGTTTATTTTATTTATTTTAAGAGTTTAGAGTTCAAGGTGATTTTCGAGCAAGAGTTCAAGTTTCTATTCACTCATTAACTATAAATTCATTAATGATAGAAAAGTTTCTAGAGACTTCAGGAGAATTATGATATTTTAAGAGACCAAATTATCATTTAAATATTTTAGAGGGATTTTATTGTCATTTTTTTTTTTTTTTATTTTTGAGTCAATTTTAATTTTTGTCTTAAAAAATTAAAATTTTTTCAAGCAATGGAATATTATGATGCACTTTTAGGTTGGTTAGAATATTAGCATTGCGAGAAGAAAAATAAAAAAAAGAGATCATTACATCCAAGTTTCACACATAAATATTAATTACTGCAAGGTGTAGTAACAACTAAACTTAAAAGATTGACAACACAATGTAATTCTCTCTAAAAAAATGAAAATATAAGAAATAACCTCTCATGTTTATTGTTCCTTAATATTTTTAAAGAAAGTTCAAAACGAATAATTATTACAATATTAAAACTTCACTTGGGAGTGCAAAATGGGAAGGGTTTATGAGTGCTAATTGAAGATTGAAGTGAAAGTTAATTTTATTTCATGATTAATAAAAATATTTAAGTATTTATATTAAGTTCATTCAAGTTTGGGTTTAACTCAAATTTCTTTTAACTTGTTTAAGAGGTTTGAATAAGCTTGAAGTAAAAGAAATTTTAATACTTTCAAATCCAAACCTAATACTTTTCAAATTTATTTGGGTTGATTTATCAAGCATGACATGAATTATTGATTTTAATATAGCTATGAACATGAAGAATGAGATAACAAGTATTAATTAAGGAGATTGAATTTAGTAAAAAAAAACTAATTCTCACATCATGACAAATTTAAATTTTTATTAAATGAGATATCATGTTTGAATAGAATAATAGAATTAAGAAAATACTCCATCCATTAAAAAATGTAAATGTATTTTTAAAAGTTGAAGATTAAAATTAAAAAATAGAAAGTGTTTTTAACCTTTTAATATGTAATCATTATTTTTTTTAAAGTACTTTTAATGAATAAATTATTTTATATTTATTTTAAGATAAAGTACTTTATTAAATAATAATAAATATAAAAAATAAAATTAATTTAAAAATAAATAATTTATAATTAATTTATTGTAGGATAAAATTTAATTAAAAATATTTTTATATTTTTTAGAAGAAAGAGTTCTAGATTATATTATAATAATCGAGATAATGATAAATTCAGTCAAATATATCTGACCTGTCGTATTTGGAGCTTGGACCTGAATGACCGGGTTGGCTTTTTACGTCTAGTTTACTGCCTGGCCCCAATTGCCCGTCGTCCTGATCTCCTCTCTCCCTCAGCTAAGCTTCATCAGCGTCAGGTTGCTGTTTTCGGGCTTTTAGAGACCCCAAGGTCAGGGTTTAGCTTCAGCTCTCACCTATCCGTTTTGAATTAATTGCTACTTGCTAGTCCCTCTTGGTGGGTACTCTGATCCTTATAGATTTCCTGCAACTTTATTGACGCGTTTTTATGTGCTTTCTACGCTAATTTACACATTCCCTTTCTGGATTTTGAAAACCCTAAGCTCAATTTTTCATCCAATTGCGAGTTTTCATTGAATTATTATTGTTGCAATTTTAAATTTAAATTATTCTGTTAATTCTAGGGTTCTTCAAAAATCTCTGACTTCCTACCTTCCATTTAGTCTCTGATTCATTATAATTTATTTATTTCCCTCCCCTGAATAATTCGTCGTCCAATTTAACGTATATACTTATTTATGATTCATCCATAGATTGTCGCTAAAAAGTGATGACCTTTGGGCAAGGATTTAAGGTTTGTGCCACCCTCCTTGTTGGTATCCTTGCTCCGTAAATGACTTTTTATACTTTCCTCCATGCTTCATTTGGTTACTCTTGCGTTTTGGTCAACATTATAGTCTTTCCTTCAGCTGTCATTCTTGTTCAAAATTTCAGTTTATTTGTCATTTTGCTGTAGCAATGGGACTCTGACACTCCATATCATTGCTGTAAGTTGATATTATTTAATTTAATTGTAGGGCACATTACCTTTCATAATTCATCATGGAGATTCAGAATTGTGGCAGGCCAATTGATTCTTTGTTAGAGAAAGTTCTTTGTATGAATATTCTGTCCTCTGATTACTTCAAGGAGCTCTACCGATTAAAAACATACCATGAAGTCATTGACGAGATTTACAATCAAGTTGATCATGTGGAGCCATGGATGACAGGGAATTGTCGTGGTCCTTCTACTTCCTTCTGTCTTCTTTACAAATTTTTTACCATGAAGCTCACTGTCAAGCAAATGCATGGGCTGTTGAAACACCCCGATTCTCCTTACATAAGAGCGGTATGTGGAGGTCCTTGGAAATTTATATTGGGCTTTTCTGGTGTATTTTATTAACATACTGAAACTTTGTCTTGTCATATTTGAGGTGCATGCGTGTGATTTATCTGTTTCTGTGGTTGCAGCTTATATTTCTTCATGTATCCCGATAAATGAACACAAATTATAAAGTTAATTTCTTTCCTTGTAATGTATGTTTGGTGTTGCAGAAAAGGGGATTTATGATTATATATTTGAAGGAACAAAACAAAGAAGATTTATGTTGTTACTATTGTTTGTTCTCTGTATAGAACGGGTGCATTGCAATTCATTCATATGCTTCGCATAACTAAAGATTGGGTGCATTTTTCCTCTTTATTTTATAACTTTAGACTGTATGTTGATTTTGTTTGCAATAGTTGGAAAATACACGCAATTCCTGGCTTGATGCGTCCCCATTTTCATGGTGAATGTGATAGAGATTTATACTTTTTAACATTTAAGGATCATTTTCTCACCTCAGTTTCTCTTTCTATCACTGTCCATGGTTGTGGTGAAATAACATTCTGGGACTAAATCATTTTAAGAGTACATATTATATTTACATAAAAATACCTGACACAAAATCCTTACGTTTGGTAATTGCTGCTAGAAAACAGTCACCTCCCCTCTGTTTTAAGTTTCTATCAAAAGCAAGATAGGATGCTGACATTATCTGTTTCATAGTTTTGAATCCAAAGATTCCCCTTATGAGTGAGCAATTGGAATATATAAATATTAGGACAGTGGGAAGACAAGGGAGGGTATGCATCCATCTTGAAGTGATTTCTTGAATAACTGGAAAATATGGATATTTATGCATACTTTGCTGAAAAAGTAAATTCAAGTGTGGAATTGATGCTGTCAATCTTTCTATTAGTAGACAGGAGTATGTGCAATTTTTGAAACAAAAAGGTTGAAGGTTGTGATTTTGTTATGCCTTAAGGTAATTCTTTCTTATAGTTAAATTTTGTCATGAGTTTGGGCCAATTTTTGTTTGGTCAGCTTTTGGCCTTTTGTGTTGTTCTTCATCTTATGGGCCTGAGTGGATAGCTTGGCTATTCTTCTCAGATTTTGGTGTACTCTTTTTACCGTGTTTAATGAAATTTGGCCACTGCCTCCTTACTTGATATTGTCATTGTGGCCGGACTGTTGAAGTTGAACTGCATTAATATTCATCTTATATGCCCTTTCTCTGGATCTCAATTTCTCTTGGCATCTAAAGTTCAAAATGATGAAGCTGTTTTCTGTAATGCATATATATAATTGGCTTTTTTTTTTCTTTTTTCTTTTGGTGTTCTATAATCCGTATGTGTGATATTCATGGTCATGGTGTATACAATGTTTCATCCTGAATTGGAGTGTGTATGCTGTGTAATTCTCTGGATATATTTGCAGGTTGGATTTCTCTACTTAAGATATTTTGCTGATCCTAAGACATTGTGGAACTGGTTTGAGCCATATGTCAAAGATGAAGAGGTATGAGAGTACTCACTTGTGATCTTTGGTTTCTTGTAGCTCTGGAAATCTCTATTTCTGTGATATTAATTGAGGTTTTGTGTGATTGTTTTGTGGAATGAGTCTACTTTGACTTTAGTTTTTCTTGTATACTTGGTGTTCATATTTGCTCCTTCTATAGGTATTTTTTTTTTAATTATGTATTTTGTTGACTCCTCTCTCTTATTATATGTTGATGCTCAACCTATAGCAACGGTGATAGGAGCAGAGGATGTAATTTTGTCTGATTTCCTGAATTTCTGTGGGTAGGCCTTTTAATTTATGGTTTTTTTGTCACCTAGGAGAGTGGGGTACCAGAGGTTATAGAGATGGTGTTTGTGTATGCCTCAAAACAACTAATTTTAATAGCACATTACATGTATGAATAGCTAGTGTTTTAGGACAGTTTCGTGCAGTAAAGGTGCAATATGGCTTCAAATGTCTGTAATGAGTAACTAAATATGTTGGGATCTCAGAACCATTTTTTGTTGAATATGTAAGAGTTTTGAAGAGGATCATTGTGGATTTCAGGTTTTTTATTAAAAGGCATTGATCTTGAAATTGAAGGGTATGATGTTTTGAAGGAATAAGCGGATGGTGGAGTTGGGTGGTGACTTAGGGATCTCTCCCTTTCTTTGTTTGAAATAAGCAGTGTTAGTCAGTGTGCCCTTTGATTCTCATGTAAAAGTTACTGCTTTTGTTCATAAATCTGGAGGTGTGACACTTGTCTGGGATTGAGTTTTTTGTTGTCCTGAATTCCACAAAGAATGGGCTTATAATAGTTACTCATCACTCTTTGATGGTTGGTGGTTGTTGAGGCTTAGAATTACATTAAATTTACTGAGTCTGCTATTTTTTATTGATGCTACACGAAGAAAAGTATCTGGGAGGGACATGATGGAGTGTGGACCTATGATAAAAGAGTCACATGGTTGTATTAATAAGGGGTTTCTCTTTTTTAACTAATTGTTGGAAGACAGCCAGGCATTGAGGAGGGAAGACCAAACTGGCAATCTCTGTTTTTCTTCAAAATATAAGATCTATCAAGCATGTGAGGAGTAGGTAGTAAGAGTTGATATCATAGTAAGTAGTAGGCCCTAAAGAAGTAATCGGATAATATGAATACCTTTATGCTTGATTTCTCATGGGAGAGAGTGCAAAACGTGCATTAATCTTGTACACAGATAAAAATATTGTCTAAGCATGTCACCCAAGTGGTTATAAATAAAAACATGTAGAACAAAAGCTGACAATACGAAAAAAATAAAGAGAATGGAGATCAGATATATTATGATAACAGGATATTCAAATAACTGACATCACCAAGCAGAATCTTAATTCTGGTGCTAGCTTGTGCCTTGGGCTGATTTCCAGGTAGTCAATAGAATAGAAGGATGGATGCCTAGTTTGCAATAAAGGCTTCCATTAATCAATAATTTTCCATTTCTTGATTGTCCAGCAGGGTTGGAAGAGTTCTGTCTTGTGCTTTTGCTGGGGTTTGTGGCCCTACAGTTCAGTTTGGTAGAAGGTTGTTTTGATATGAATTGTCAGGTAAAGCAGCATTATGTGGAATCTTGAGTGTAGTACTTTACCTTATACTTCTTCATTCAGTATTCTTCTTTTTGAGCGATATATTTAGCACGAGAACTACTCAATCCATTTACCCCAAAAAAAGGGGAAAAAAGACCACTTAATTCATTGCAAATGATGCGGCATCTTGGTGGAATGTTCTTCCAATTTGGTGCTGCTTATTAATGTGATTCTACTCCCCAAACAGATAATACAATTCATTGTAAATGATGTGGCACTTAGATGGTAATGACTGTTCTCTCCATGTGTGCTGCCCATTAGATGTGGCCTCTGATCATAAAATTGCATTAGTAGATCTTTGCGTCTAAGTGTACAATATGCAGTTCTTTATGGGAAGTTAAAGTTTTACATAAAATATGATGTTATGGCTATGTTGTGGTGATTCCATTGTTTCCACTTGTCATACTTTTCTGTTCGTACTTAACTGCTTTGATTCAAATTAAATAATGCATTTTGGGTTTCTATTGTTATCTCATTTTGGAGAATAAATGGTAAAATTGCTTCTGTATGTCATATGCATATCGTTCTTCATATCAAGTTTGATTCTATATTTCAGGAATTTTCTCCAGGATCTAATGGACGAATGACCACAATGGGTGTATATATCCGTGATTTACTTCTTGGACAGGTCAGTTACAACTAAATCTATCACACTCTTTTACCTGGGTATGCTTCTTAGTTTCTCTGTTTCTAGCACATGCTTTCTTCGTGCTCGTAGAATTAAACCATCAAATGGCATATGCAACGCTTACCCTGAATACGTAATGATATTGGTCAATGTAGTGTCACACAGTAGCAAGGTAAAATTTCATGTGACTCAACTATTAACTAGTTAAACTGAGATTTCTGTCTTCAGAACTCTCCTTCCCGTTACCAGATGCATCACAACATTACAAATGGAGATTCATGTCTTATCATCAGATATTTGGGGTTACAATTCTGTGAGGTGCTTTCAGTATCTTCGATGCTTACAAATGGGAATATAATTCATTGACAGCTGATATCTACTGATCTACTCCTCTAGAGTTGTCTTAAGAAAGAACATGTACGAGAGCCTGGTTGTTCACTAATATCATAAAGCTTGCTTTTTATGCAATGATGAATTCTAAGGAGTTCAAATGCTTCTAGTATGTTGCAGTCTCTGATTACTGCCATAAATGCGATTTTTAAAGGGAATTTCTGTATCCAGTGCTTGTTATTGATCATCATGTGTAATTATGATGCTAACAACAATGTTTTTGTCCCATCTGTCTAGCTACAGTCTTTCCATTTCACGAGTTCTTGTGGAAGCGCAGAACTTCAAAAAAGGGGCATATTGTGTCTGGCACAGCTCATACACCTGTACTAAACACAATATGATATTAATACAGCGACCTAAGTTATGTATGAACGACTAAAATTTTGTGGTGGTGTTTTGCCTTTGAGTCCATGCTTCCTAAGTTTAGACTTCTTGCACGGTTAACATTTCTTATGTGTTAAAACGTTAACCGCTTACTTTTCATGAAAAAACAAAGTTTTAAATGCTTACTATCTCCTTTTAGTTGGTTTTTATTTTTGTGTTTGCTTGATTTTTATTTTTCATGGTTTTGGGCTTTTTTGTTTGCTTGTCACTTAATGTGCTCCAATTTATCCTTATTGACTGGCTTAACCTAATTTTTTGGGACCACGCTTCAATACCACATCATTTCCACTCTTGAGGAAATTCTGCTTTTGTGGTGCAGTATTACTTCGACACCCTGTTTCCACGTATCCCCGTTCCTGTACTGAGGCAAGTTGTGGCTAATCTTGAGAAGCTGAAGCTTCCCACCACACATTCTGGTTCAACAGGGGAATCCACCCGTCGTGGTTCTGATGATACTGCCCGCCGGCCACCTTCTGTGAAAGCATCCCTTTCGGTCTCATTTGGTCAGCGTGCTCCACATCGTGCCTCAACTAGGGACTCATCACCAATTCGCCGCACTGTATCTCACCATGAAAGAAATGGCAGTGATGATCCACGGAGATCTCCAAGAAGAAGCAGTCACATCCAGAGCCGTGAATATTCTGACAAGGATTGGGACCGAGAAAGGGAAACGTCAGGAGATCAGTCCCGAGCCAGGGACAGGGATCGAAATCATTACAGGGGCAGGGACAGGGACCGTAAATCAGAGAAGGGCAGAGACAGAGACTTCGAGAGAGATCGTGAAACATACAGGGACAGGGACAGGGATTCGGAAAGAGATAGAAGAGATAGGGAAAGAGATCGAGAGCATAATTATGATCATGATAAGAGGTCCAGGTATACAGAGAGAGGACACAATGATAGGAGGCACTATCGTAGTAGGAGCAGGAGTCCAAGTAGAAGCAGAAGTCAAAGCTTGCAAAATGGTGCTCCTCAGTTTGAATCTGGGAGTAAGGAGAAGCCATCTACATCAGCCAATCTGGCTAAGCTTAAGGATATCTATGGTGATATGAACAATGGTAAAGCAGATGCCAACATGGAAAGAGTTCGTAGGAGGGTTAATGATGACGAAGAGGTTATTAGACTTGGTGGTTCTACTTGGAAGTATTGAATTGAATGATTTCATTGTTGAATGTTGGATGACCTGGCTTCTCTGAACTGGACGGACTGAATCTCTCTTTCGGTTCCTGCCTCGACGAAAATTATATATTCAGAAATTCAATCTAATCTATCTATATCTACATTATTACAGTGAGATAATGTATACTAGAATTTTATTTATGAATTTTCTGATACATAACACTTTATGCTTTGCTGGCAGAAAGCTTTCTTTGGAGTCTGAGACTAACATGCTTTCATTTATCGCCTGGTCAAGTTTAGCTACCTGGTCATGTTGCCTCCGAATTGAACACTTTTTTTTTTTTTTATAAATGATACGACTTGTACTTTATATTGATTTCTCCGACGGCTATTGAAGGATTAATGTTGCTGTCGGTAACTTGACTTGTCGACTGTTCTTGGGTCGAGCCAGTTTTATGCAATGTGTGTGGGTTTCCAATCGAAAGGTAAACTATGGATGGAAAAGTGGGCTTTTCACCTGTGGACGAACGGAGTATTGCCAGATTTTTTCCTTCATATCGTCAAAATTCTATTGAACTATTCAATCTGGTCCCACCGTTAGACTGGCTTTCTTTCTTCTTCTTCTTCTTTTTTGTACATTACTATTGGACTTTCTTATTCTGAAGTGCTACTTCGATGAACTTGGGTTTTACGCTCTATGTACCTCACTCCAATATCATGGACCTATTGAATTACAAGAAAACAGCGATACACTGTGCTGGCCTCCCAAAAACAATATACAAGAATTCATTCTTGCCTGGTGCTGATCTGATGGTTCCAATTAGCCTTCGATTATTCACACTTGATGGATCGATATATGTGACGGACAAGGATTAAAGAAGCTCGGAAACCAATAGCTCCAAGCATGAGGAAGAAACCATAGCAAATGCAAGCCATGTAGCCAAAGAAGAAAGACGTTTGCATAAAGCCTGACATATCTGATCTTGCATGATAGAAATAAAAGCAGTAACCATATATGAAGAAGCCGATTGATCCACCATAAAGGAAAGACCTAAGGTTCATGTCAAATACACAGTAGTTAGTCTCCCTCAAAATTGAAGAAATAAGAGCAGGAAAAGAAAAGGCTCAAGTAGAATTTTTTACTACTGCCCAAATAGAAAAGTTATACTGAAGCAATATAGCATTTTATTTTGAGGATATAAAATGGGTAATCCTAATTTTAGTGCTACATCATCATTACCATCATCTTAAATTATTTGTATTTTCCTTTATTTCTAAAGAAAATGATACTTTGGCATGGGTCATCTTAAGATATAAGTGATATTATGCTTATAATGGTAATATGTGACAGATATACATATCAATTTTAAATTTTAAATTTTAAATTTGGACAACCATCTGCTTTTTTCATAAAGACATAGTAAGAGATATTATCTTGCATGCAAATTATGCATCAACAAATCGTTCTTTACATTAGTTCAAAACACTACTCTCGTTTATCAAACTTTTATCTCACCTATCAAAGAGGCGTCAAGAGATTTATGTTTCATTTCATTATGATTATTCCATCTCAGCAAAGTTTCAGCTAGCACTCCATGGAACTTGGAGTGTCAATGAGCACTTCAATTTAGAAGTTCAACGTTCAAGTTATACTGGAAGTAGGAATGGTACAGTTTTAACTTCTAAAGAATATAGTTAACCTCAGTTTGTAGCATATATTCAATGAATGAAGAAAGAGCGAGATTATTCAGTGTGGCAGGACGCGTACCTCCACCACCATTCATGGTCCTCGACTGCAAGCTGCAAGTATGTCAATGCGACGGTGCTGAAAGCGGTAACAATCAAGAGAATGAGCACAATAATCAAAATGCTGTATATGGTGTAAATCTGGTGACCCCATAAGCCAGCGAATATGTCGTAGAGTTCAATGAAAGTAGCACTGAAAGACACACAACCAGCTAAAGCCATTTGAGCAAGGGCTCTACGGTACCAAGGTAGCCGGGGGATCTCCCTCGGATACTTAGAGGTGCGACAAGGAGCTTGAAATTCTGATCTGCTATTCTTGCCAGCAATCCCACCCAATACTAGCAAAGGTGTGGTCACAAGAGTCCATATGAGGAAAATAACAACAATAGTTCCAAATGGTAGTGCTGCAGTAGAGTTATAGGCAAGTGCAACAGTGTTCAGGAAGCAGAACGTCAAAAACAAAGGTCCAGATAATAGGCTTCCAGTCAATATCAAAGTCTTCACCTGGCAAACCATATCATCAGTTAGCATACTTCGTTAAAGTTCTTACTTTATGTATTATAGTTTCATTTCTTTGAAAGAATGGGACAGATGAGGGAAGAAACTGAAACAACAGCCAAATATTGTATTGTTAGAGTTTCTACCGTAAAGAAACTAACTGCTAGAATGAGAAACTAATTTTTATTATCCATGAAATCTAAGCTATTTGATTCACGCGGAGAATAATGTACATATGTCTTAAACTTCGCAAACAACCAAGCCTGTCTGCTTTTGAAAGAATTCGGAGTCAACATTTAGTTTCTGGTTTGGCACGGAGAGGAAGGGGCCAACAGATCGCAAAATTATACCACTAGAAGGCGATTTCAGCATGCAATTTCAAATCGAGAGAAATTGAGTCAGGAAGCAGCGTGATTCTTACGTAAGTTACATGAATGAGAATCGAATGAAGGTTAGTGGTATACGAAACATTTTAGGTTGGAGCACCAATAACATGTTGTCTTAGGAACAGAAATGTACCCAGTTCTTCCCTTCAATCATACAATAGAAGGAGACTGCCGAGTAGCCTGCAACCGCAGACGTTAGCGCGTATATTGTAATAAGTGCAGTAAACAGAGCGCCCCTGTTGTATGGATAGAACATGCCGACTAGTGCAAGTACAAGGGCGAAGATTGCACTGAAATCAGTAGCAAAGATTGCTAGTTATGAAGAGAGATGAACAACACTACACAAGAACAATAAACTCCTTTTAAAGAGAAGCTGCTTCAAAGGGATACTTACAGAGTAAATAGCTGTGTGCCAGTTCCAAGCACTGCTGCAAACAAGGACTTGTATCTTGGGTACCTGAACACATCACTCCGAATGTATTTCCAACCACTCTTTTCTTGTTCATCATCGGCCTCCTCATTATCAGTAAATCTATCATGTTTGAAATTGTGGGTATAATAAGAACAGAAAGTTTTAAGGCTTGAAAAGAGATTAGTCAGTGGAAATGATTCTTACTTAACAAAATCATTCTTAAGTTTACGCCTAAGAATTGTAGCAAGAAGTCCACAAGTAAAACATGAATGAATAATCGTAAACCAATGGATTTCCAAGTGATGTTGCAGCAAGGATGTTCGTGAGTATTTCTCCAACCGCTTCTCAAATGGAGTGTCAGCTTCAGTCCATACGACGGAATATGAGAAGTCTATGTCTACTGCCTTATCCTCTGGCAAGTCCGCAAGTACAGTTGGATCATTTTGAACGACAATATCAATGACGCGATCCTCATTGTATAGGATCTCAAACTTGATATGCCTAAAAAGGAGAACTGTAGGCCCAGTTCGATCATCTTCAGCTTCGCTTTCAAATCTTCCAATGGAACTCCAAATGGGCAAGTCATCCAAGTACATTTGAAAAAAATAATTCCTCAAAACAGCAGTTCTGAATTTGGTAACCTCTTCTCTTGTGAGCCTTTTTGAGCAGATAATCTCGGGTTCTCTATCAATTAAGAAGTTGATTTTATACGGAGCAGCAACTAGTCGATCTCCATTCAAAACTTCACCAAATGTTTCTTTCTTTTCTTCCACTTCAACTGTAACCCACAATAAACAATTACATAGTACTAAAACAGAGAACTGAGAATAGGAATTATACCAACAAACTGACCTGGTGAACAAAAGGGAAGGTCATAATATCGGTATGTTTCACTGTAACACAAAAACAAAGGGAAGCACAAGAATTATCAAACTCGTACTATTGTGAACAGGCTATAAAAATCATTTCTTCGATGCCAAAGTTTGCTAACCGTAATTCAAACAAGTTGACTCAACTGTTATATTCGAACCCATCCAATTCATTTTGGACTTGGATATCCTGTTCGTAACAGTTTGAGTCACCATGAAGGCCAACTGTTTGACTTCACATTTTTATACATAGAGATACATATAGTAAGAACAATCTCAAAAAGCAAAAACAAAAAACAAAAAATTGACCTTCATCATATAAAAGAGAGGAAAAAAAACTGAGGCGATATGGAACATAACTTGATCGTCACTATAATTCTAATTGCATTTGAAAAAAAAATCATTCAGAAGGTCAGACCAATTGAATCACATTGGGTTCTTTCTAAATTATTTCAAGTACACACTGCCCACTGTTTTTAAAAATAAAGCAAGAAAAACACGGAAGCTACATTTGCGCTCCGTTAGTATACTTTGAGTTTTTGCAGTTGAATACAAAGTATGCGATTTGCATAAGATGAAATTAGAGCTTCGAAATCCTGCTTGTTTCGTCCTTAGCTACCTTGCAGGCCGCAGCATCCATTCCAGTCATCAGTCAAACATCTAGCAAGCTTTTAGTTGTTTTAATAGGTAAACTAATTAAAAAAACAAATCAGAATGCTAGAAATAAACTCAGCAAAAGATGACGCGAAGTGAGAGTCAATATCACCGATGGCTGACAGTAGCAAGATACTCAAATTTTAGAAGATAGCGATCGGAAAGAATCTCACATTCTTGAACCTTGGATGAATAATAGCAAAGACAATATTTCCTTAGAAATAGGATCGATTTGAAAGGTTTTTTCCCACAAAGAAACGAAATCTTGAATGAGAGAGGTGGAACTGGAGAATGAAGGGTAAATGGAACCTCGTTACCTAGGATTGTGGAACGGTCCCACCTTGTTGGCGTAAAAAGGAACGGAATCTCCTGTTTTGAAGCGATGATAAAAAACGTCGGACTTTGCGAGGCTCAGGAAGCAGAGGACGATAATGACGGCAAGCAAAGACGCCATTGACTTGCCCATATTTGCAGACAGAGACAGAGAGAGAAGAAAGTGGTGTTGAGCGCGCCAAATATATATGCATGAAAATGGTGGTGAACACTGAACAGAACAGAACAGAATCCCCTCACGCCATCTTTCACTCAAAATAAAAATAAAAATAAAAATAAAAATTTAATTCACAATTTTAATACTTTTTTTTGGATAAACTTAATACATTTTTTTTCCTTGTAAGGGAGGAAAATTTGCCAGTAAATGTATATAATATTCTTTTTCTTTAGAGAGAAATTCATACATCTAATAGTCTTAAAAGAGATATAAAATTCTCTTATCGAAAAAAAGAGATAAAATAAAAAAAGGGTGTAAATATAAAATTTTAAGGCATGTTTTCTTTAAATATAAAAATGCATAAATAGAGCAGATTTACTTTGGCAGGTGTGTGTTTAATATAATATTATTAATGAAATCTGATTAAATAATAGGGGTATATATATATATAAACTTGAAAAATATTAAGAAAGTAAAAGTTAATAATAGAAATGTGAGGCTTAACTGTATAAAAAGTTAAAGCTTTTAATAAATAAATAAGAAGTTAAACCTTGTTTAGTTATTTCTTTCAAAGAAAATATCTTCCCTCCCCACATATCATCAACCAAATTACCTACCTCTTAGATTCAGCAATCAGCATGCATGTTTGATATATACTTCATGTTTCTATGGAAAAAAAACAATAAAAAATATTTTATTTTACATTTTATTTATTTTGAAAATATTATTAACTATAAATTATATATATATTTAATCATATTTTCAGAATCCAAATTTAATACAATACGACAACATTAGTTTGCGTTGGCAGCTGGAAAATAATCCAATTCCATTCATTTTGTCCAAAGAAGTTAAAATGATTTACCATGTTCTCTCTGATTTTATTTACAAATTATTTTTAATATATTTTATTAAAATTAAAAAATTTTTAAACTTTATTGACATGATCTTAAAATTTAACAAACTTTCATCTTTACTCTTAATAAATATTCTTAAATATCATTATTTATATTTTATTCAAAGTATTTAATAAGTATGAAAAGGTAAAGAAAATATTAAAAATTGATAAACATCTTGTAAATAGAATTAATTTTTTTTTCTCTCTCTCTATTTTATAAATATTAAAAATTAATAAATGCCTTATAATTAAAATTAAAGTAGGATTTGACAAAGTACATTATTGTGGTAACCAATGGTTGAAATAAATTCATTTATGTTGAGATTACTTTGGTTCCTTTGACTCCTCTTCACCAATCATTTCATTACTCAATATTCTCTCTCTTATTCTGATGGTCCATTATAGTAATTTTCCTTTGTTGGGAGTTGTTTTCATGATTCAAGCTCTTGGAAGGTTAACTCAAAAAGTACGTACAAGCAAGAGTATGAACATTGTTGAAAATTATTGTTATTATTTTATTTATGTAAATATAAAGTTCAATCATTTGTAAATCATGTGCTCAAAATTACAATTATAGCTGTCAATTAATAAAAACGGTCCCAAATAATATTATATACTTGTGAATGATTTTTAAAATGAAATTGGCTTTTATGAAGGTTTAAATTTTGAAATTTTCTATTTTTTTAAAAAAATTTCTAGTCTTTTTAATATTAGCTTTAACCTTGTCTTTTTGTTTTTTTGAAAACATTATAATTTATGGCTCAACTCCATATGTTGGCTCAAAGATGGTTCAACTCCAACCCCACCCAAGCCAACTATGAAAACAATTTTTAAGTGCAAATCAAACTGTACAATGGAACTGTTAAATGAGTATTGGACGGGCTCTTAAGGGCTAACCCATAATTACTTTTATCCTCAAATCAACACTTTTCTCAAATCCTTAAAATTTTTAATTATGATAATACATGTATTAATTACAAAGTAGCTTAATTAAATATTTAAAAGATAATAATAGGATAAACTGGTCCATTGATCGAAAAAAATCTTATGCTTAAAAAATATAAACTAAATTTTTAAAAATGCATTGATATATAAAGAATTTATTATTAATATATTAAGGATTTATCATTAAAAAATTACAAAGAGTTTATCATTGATATACAATAATATATCATTAATAAATATAATAAATCAACTACAGTGTAAATGGTTGTATAACATGTTATATCTGCGAAAGCCTCAAAATAATAATAAGCTTTGAAATATAATTAAAATAATACAAACCTCAAAACATAATATAAACCATACCAAGTGAAAATTGTCTGTAACATCCTGATTTTTATATAATAAAGAAATTGTGGAATTTAGGTTTTGAAAAAAAAATGATAATAATAGGAATTTATATTATTTAAGGTTATTTAGAAATAATATTATGATTAGGTATTTAATTATGAATTTAAAAATTTAAATTTAAAACCACATAAGCAATATTTAGTTAAGATATAATACATAAATAATTTTTATGTGTGTGTTAAAAAAAAACAGAGAGGGTAGAAGGAACAAAAAAAGGGGGGGATGGAAGGTTGTTGTTTCTAAGTCCCACATTAGTTAGATGAGGGAAGAGAAGAGGTGCCTTCATGTATAAAAAGGAGGGGGTGTGTGCATTAGGAAGCATGAGAGGCTAAGATGCAATTTAGAGAAAATTACAACTTTTGGCCCAAAGGTTTGAATAATTAAATTCAAACCTATAATTTTTTTTAATATAATTTTGGGACTCACAATCCCATTTTTATATTATTTTTCTCTCTTCCTCTCACGTTGCTCGGCGTTTTCTCGCAAGGGAGGATTATTTTCTTTTTCTTCAGGTATGTTCTAACTTTCCTGTTTAGATTAGCATTTAAAAATTTATTTAATTACAAAATTAATTTTATAGTTATTTTCTAAATAATATTAGCTTTCTAGTGATATGATTATTTTGTAGGATAGAGTAAATATTTTGATTAGAATTTTTTTATAGGATAGTTAATCTGATGATATGATAGATTAAAATATAGGTTAAAACTCTTAGAGATATAATAAATATTATAGAATATTTTCTTGAGGTTGAAACTCATGTTTAAGAATTTTTGAGTTAAAATCTAGATCTATATGGTTGAATTTATGTGGAATCTGAGATGTAGGGATAAACCTCTGATTATTAAATATTTATTTAAGTATGAATAAGTATTTTTGAGGTTATAGAAAGGTGATTTGAGGTTTCAGGATAATTCTAAAATTTTTAATTTATTTTTGAACGAATTTTTAGAATATAGAATGATGAAATTGTGATACTAGAAGTGATTTGAGGATAAAAAAAATAGTTTATTAGGGTACGAGAATTTTAGAAAAGAATTTAGAAAGTTAAATGAGGCATAAATCTTAAATTAGTATTAATATGGATTATAGATCTAAGACTTTCTAATTCTTTAAATTAGAGTTATTTATTTTAATGTAAAATTAATATATAGTATTGTGAAATAATTATGTAGATTATATTGACAAAGATAGTGGTGAAAAAGGAGTTGTGAAGGGGAACTTGTTATTCAAGACACAAGGTAACCATTATTAATGTGTTGTGATGGGTGTGTTTGTGAATGGTTATGTGTTGTTTTATTGTTTGGAAAAATTATGAATTTATTGAAAATAAATATTGTATATACTTGTTTGAAATTATTGCCAAGTGGGTTAAAAATTTATTTTTATTTATCATAATGAGATATTATTGTTCGGATATATTCCTGTTCGGATATTTGAATGATGCATGACTTGTCAGGGTATTTTAATGTATGGTGTTAATGGGAATTTCTGTTCGGTTAATTATTACCACGTGGTAAGCCCTCATTGGACCCAATGAGTGGCGTGTCGCTTGGTCCAACTCACCTTTGGCCGGGTGATTTGGCGTCCGAGCATGGTGAAAGGAGGAGATAAGGTGCAGTCATGCAATTAAATACTTGTTCGGTTTGTTTGAAAATATTGTTTGGTTAAATGTTTTGTGTGCCCACTTAGCAATCGCATGATTAGTTACATCCGCATGCATCATTACATATTAATTTTTGGTTATTGGGACTTTTAAGTCTCATTCCTCGTGGTTAATATTTTTACAGGAGCGAATCCGGCCGAGAAAGCACCAGAGGTGTAATTATGGTGTATGAGACACCATCTTTTACGTTGCCTCTTATTTTGGATTATACAATGTATCTTGTGCCAACTTAGGACATATCTTGTCTATGGAGCATGTAAACTCTAATCCTTTTTATTAAATGCATTTATATGTCCAAGAAGATTATGTCTGTCCCTTTTGATTCATGACCTAATTTAAATAACATGCTATGAGGATCATGTCTGTCCCTCATGGTTCTAATTGCTTTTTGAGATATTTTAAGACCTGTGGTATATTGTCTTGGATGTATCATGGTAGAAATTTTTCTACCATGATAAGGGTATGATAAGGGTTCAATGAAAAAAAAATGATTTCTTGAATTAATAATTTGCGAAAAATCGGTTTGTAAATTTGAGGGTGTTACATTGTCTATTATCCAAAATATAAATATTCTTTAATCCTTAATATTATAATTCAAAAATAAAACATTCAACGGTAGTGCTATGCTAAGTTTTCAACCACCTCACCAACTTTATATTTGTTACCTATAATAAATATTTAACAAATTGTGTTATTCTCATATACTAGTTTAAAAATGTATATAAATTATATAAATAATAAGAGTTTTTACAAATATAACCTATGTTATGATACCGAATCAAGCAAACAACTCAACATTTATTATATTTTTAGTATGGCTAATTTATTATATTTGTCGATAATATACCATTGTATATTAATAATAAATCTTTTGTAAATTTTTAATGATAAATTTCTTATATATTAATGATAATCTCCTTGTATATCCATGTGAATTCATCATACTCCAAAATTTTTAAAAATTTAATTCATATTTTTTAAGTATAAATTTTTTTTTTCAGTCAGTGACATAATTTATCTTAAATAATAAAGTTATAAAAAAATTATGAGGGTTCAAGTGTTAGCTCAAGCTCAAGTCCATTTTTGCATGGCCTATAAAAATAAGATCTAAAACCCTTTTATATCATAATCTTTTATTTTTGCAAGCTTGACTCTAAAAAATTACATGACTTAAAAGAGTGGCCCATTAGACTTGACTCCTATTAACTGCCCTACTATATAGTTAGGGGTGGAAAAATGGGTAGACCTAACGCTTGAGCTTGATTTTTTAAAAAAATGATTGATTTTTGAAGGTCGACCCTTATTGGAAGGGTTTAAGGCCGGGCCTATAAGCCTATTTTATTTTTTAAATTTGTTTAAAAATAAAAAATTTAATAAAATAAATATAAATATAAATATAGAATCTTAATTAAGTTTTAAAGTAAAGATAGAAATTTTCAATCTAAATCAACCTTATCAAATCTGATTAATACAAAAATTTGTATATCATAGAACACACATCATTAATCAAAATCAAAAAATAAATTTTACAAAGTAATCGTATTTAAGAAGTTGATAAAAAATTTATCAATATGGTGCTAAAATAAATGATAAAAGAATCAACGCCAATTATTTTAACAATAAAACACTTAAAAAATTATCAATCTTTTGGAAAATAATTTTGAAAGGTTACCCAAGCTCAAGTCTCTTTTTTTAGAGTTTATTAAGACTCAACTTAGAAGCTCAATTTTTAAAAAAATTATTAATTTTTTAAACTTAAATTTTTATTTAAACAAAGTTTTCAAACCCAATCCTTATTTTTTTTATACATAGTCAAACTAATTCTTCCATATGGTCTGCGGCGTGGTCCTGCCCTTAGTTTTGTGCATAAAGAGGCTAAAGGACGTGCTCATTTAGTCATTTTATCGAGGAGTCTCATAACTCATAAGCTCAATGTTCATTTTTTTTCCCCCTTTGATGAATCCCACATTTCACTTTCACATTTAAAATGTTTGAAGGTAGCGGATGATGGAGTATATATGATTGTAATTAGCTCATTGGTTGGTTGTTTAATTATTAATGACTTCAGTATTATTAAAAAAAAAACATCAACAAAATTTGCATCCTCCGCTGCAAATAACTGTTTCGAACTTGCACTGATATTTTGTTAAAAAAAAAAAAAAACCTTGCACTGATATTTTTCAAACCGGCACCGATGGTTTGTCGAATCAAATCTTCTCTGGAATTAAATCCAAGTGATTAATATTCTCACTTCATCCCTTGGTTCTAACAATGGTGATGGATCCTGTACCCTGTGTATGAATCCTAGTAAGAGCCACCACTGCTTTTCCTTTAATCCCAAAACCTCGGTCTGAAATGCATGGAACGCCCACTCGATCTCTCACAGGATGCGGAATCGGCTTCGCTGGGCTCATTCGCATCTGCTGATTTATGTCTTCAAGCGCTGTTCCTCCTTCAGCCCCTCCTCGCTTCACCATCTCGAATGGGTAAGCGATTCGCTTCCTCTGACCCTCTGCATTCCACAACACACAAAAACCATACCGTAAATGAACCATTGTATGTGGAAGAAAAAAGATTGGAGAAGCAGAGAGATTGACTACTGAATTTTGGTAATGGCCCTTTTGTGTTTGAAGAAAAGTGCGTGTAATACTTGAAACTGAAGCATCGTTTTCATCTGATTTTCTAGATGCCTTTCTCCTCTGAGGATTATCTTGTGTTGAAGCTGCATGCGTATCTTTTGGTGATGATGATGATTGGCTCCTAGTGCTGAATTTTTCACTGTCTGGAATTGTGTGATCTGCAGTAGGCGGCACTGAGGTATCTAATTATCAGTCACTGAATGCGATAATGCCAAAAAACAATACTTGTGGGCAGCGTACTGTCATTATGCTTTCTAACATAATAAGTAACAAATTGATGGGCTAATATTCAAATTCTAGGTTGACCATTTATTTCAAATAATAGACTCTACAACTCTACAACTAGGAGGTGTTTTTTAATTTTATCAAGGATTTTTATTTTTGAAATAAAATATAACAGATGAACGAGTTTTTATTACTCAACATCAACATCCTCCCGTTAACTCTATAAAAGAATTCACGTGTCATGCTTCTGTTAAAAAAAAAATGATACCAAATGCCAAAAAATAGTATCTAAATTTTTATCTGATTAATAAGCCTTAATGCTACAGATTCTCCTGACAAAAAATCTTATTCATTCCCTAGAGCAGAGGAATAGAGAGGAGGAAGGAATAGGAATACATTGGTCCAAAATAAACAATAGAGACTATAGAGTTAAGGAAGGTAGGGATAAATTGGTCCCAAAAAACAAGAAGAAGAAAAAGGCATGGCTTACCGTCGAGGCGTTGGGTTCTTGTGGATGAACATGGTGGAAAAAGATCTATACAATGGTTTTCCAGACTATGGATTTCCTGTCATAGACAAAAACGTAATCAGAGTTTCAAGGATTTGACAGCTAGCGATTGAAGAAGGGAACATGAAACCTGTCTATAGTTATAAATTAACCTTTTGATCCTGAGACAGAGAGTAGAATGGTAAGTTTTGTTGCTTGTACCAAACACTCCAGCCTGCAATAACATCTTCAAGATACCCAGTAGATGTATCATCAGACGAAAACCAGGACTCTGCTTCAGCAACAAGATTACGAGTAGGTAAAAACAGTAAAATGTCAGTTAGAGGCATGCATGGAAACAAGTTAAAGCTAGAAAATTAGAAATCAAAGTGAAAGGGCTGCTGAAAAAAATCCATCTGTACCTAGAGATGCATCTGAATTAGTGACTTCAATCTCCAATTCCATGGAGGCAAGGCAGTGAGAACACAAGCTGTGTCGGGCATGCATTATGACATAGAAGGAAAGCCCTGTATATATGCAGGGTTGAAACTCATTTTTTAACAAATAGCTATTTTTATCTCTGTTTCACTTTATGGCATAAGGAATATTGCTGTAATGGACCCTTTCGATATTCTGATATTACCTAACTACCTAACTGACATTAATTAAAGTGTGAATATTGATTATGCAATGTGAATAGAAGTTGATTTAAATTATGGTATAGCTCTTGGCCCCAAAAAAAAAAAAAATTATGGTGTAGCTGCATTGGAGAAGGTCTTTTATTCTTTCGGGAATTGAAGACAAGCTTTTTTGTATTCTTCTCAAAACATGCATTATTTTCCAAAGGGATGCTAGTACAAGACAAGAATGACATGATTTGATTAAAGGATAACTCGATCTGATGGTCTCTGCGAGACTCATGTCTCTTTGTCTGTGTCTCTATTTGATCACAGAGAGAGAGAGAGAGAGAGAGAGAAAGCTACAGAAAGAAAGACAGTGGGTTTTGTTTTATCTTTGATTTTTTTCCCCTCCTTTTTAGTTTTAAACATTTTGTGGACATAAAATTGGGAAATTTTATACTTATAAAACCTGAAGTTTAAGCCACAAGGCAATTATTGTTTACAGTTCGTTACATGATGCTGAATAATAACAACTAACGAAAGTAGACAATGGATGGCTATTCTAAATTTAAATGAGATTTAAAGCATCATCACCTGCTTTTCTTTTTCTTTATATGTTTTTCTTCTATGTTTAGATTCAAAGCCTGAATATCTTTTCCTTAGGCGTCGTTTTTCATTTTCTATCATAGTTTTCTTTATGCACCTGTTTCTGCTAGACGAGGACAAACGAAGAAGATGCCCTGTACTTTTATCTTTTCTAGCTCATCATGCTTCAGCCTTGATTTCTGTGAGATTGCTTTACCATCTTGTTTTCTTTTTCCTAATTAAATTAGTAGCTACCCTACTAAGAAAAGTAAAAACCATTGTCTTTCATGAGCTAGCTCATATGGTAAATATCTTTTGCTTATTAAGGATTATGTTTGAGCTAACAGGATGACTGCGTATCAACTTGACTCTGATAACATGACAAATGGAAACAAAAAATAGAATGAGTAGATGAGGGAACTAATGTCAATTTAAAACTTTGGGAGACTCTACATAAATGAACAAAAAAGCACTTCATTGTTGTCTGATTGGCTATCCTTCCCTTTCCTTCTTTTACTTTTACTTTTTCCTCTTTAATAATTCGGAAATAATCTAGCCAAATATTTTCAGCCGCCCTACGATTACTTTGCTACTTCAGCTTTGCCTGTGTGATACCCAGAAAGCCAGAAATTTTGTTCTAAACATGCTTGTTTTTTCTAATTTTCTTTGTGGAACGAATTCTATTAAAGCATCGCTTATGACTCATCATGAAGCGTTTGTTTATTTATTCATTTTTTCTCAAACAGCATCTGAATCATTTAGATTTTGTTTAATTATTCAAACATTACAGAATGAAAATAACTTTTAACTGTAAACATTAAAAAAATAATGATACAAATGAAGTGCTTCTTTTGTTTCTGTCTAAATCACGTGTTTTTCTGTTTCTGGCAGCACAAGAGCTGGGTCCATGAAACATCATATTCTCTGCTGGTGTCTCTAGTCTGAAGTGCTAATGCGAAGGCACAGAAGGGAAACAATGCTTATGAAGTACTTTTATGGAGTATGTCGTTCTATTGAAGCTGTCAGAAATAATTATCTATCTCTAAAAATAAATTTTAAGTATATAAACTAAAAAAAATTCCCAATGACGAGTTTTTCTTCTTCTTTTTGCAACCAAACAGCAGACATTTAGTGAAGTTATAGTGTAAGAAAAATGAAAACTAGAAAACCAGATTCCACCAGTATCTCCTATCATTTATATAAATGGAGGGTAGAGATGCAGGTTTTTGTGATAATGAAAGCATGAAAATTTTAATCCTCAAGTTTGTCTTAATTATTGGTTTGGTTCTTGATGTTTAATTTTTATCAATAAAGTCTCTAAGGTTTCATACACAATTTCATGTTCTCATTTGATATTATCAGATTAACAATGTTATTTGCACTCTCTCAAGATGTTGCGATCTTTGAATTAAAGGCATGGACGAACACGGTTAACATGGCAAGCTTTGAAGGAAGAAGGAATGTGCTTCAGCGATTGAAACGAAGGAAAATCAGTCCAATTTACCAAAAGTAAGAAATGAATTCAAAATGAGTTAGAGGAATGCATGTGGACAGGTACAAAAATGATACTTGAATCAATTCCTCCAAGTCACAGACGAAGCTCAGTCCCAACAAGAAGACGCACTGTGGCACAAAAATCTGTTTGCAGTAGTGAAGCAAAATCAGGTTCACTACTGTGGGTGTGAGAGCTCCCGCCTCTTCAGCCCATCCATTAGTCCACTTTCACTCATTCAATCCTTGGTACTTGTACCATTGAAGCTCCTTTCGTGTAGGCAATATGAGACTTATTCTTTGGACACACTTGCATATAACTGCAATAAGAGCCAGCTATGATGAGTTCGTTTTCAGGAAGACTTGATGACGAAGAAAGCGAGTTTTGAGTTACTAGTGACAAGAAAATTTTATTTAGTACAAGCGGCATTCACGGTAACACTATGATAGACTAGCCATACAAGCTCTATTTTAAGCCAATGCCTTGTGGTTTTCCACAGAAAGCACACTATCTATAACTTTAAATACTTTATTTCTTTTAAAATTGAGCTTCCAAAAAATGAATCATAAATTTTACCCCCTAACTATATGGCTATATTTGGCCAGAGGAAAATGAGATTCCCCCCAACCCCCAAGTAAATTTTTCTTCTGCCTAGTTCGGCGTCCGCCTAGGATAGAGTAAATTCATTGAATCTGCTTTATTCCTTCTTGTTTATGGATTGAACTTTGAATGCAATTGGTGATTTCAATGCAATCAATGGTAAAAAGTAAAATCATTGCTGCCAAACGTTTTGATTTGTCATCCGCGCTATGTCATTCCTTATATACTAATGAAAAAATGTGATTTTTTTAATATAATTATTTGCTTGGGGTTATATTTGAATATTGTCGGTGCCAATTTCAAAGTCGTTTTCTGACCTCATTTATTTAATCAGTCATCTATATATATATATGTATATATATATTTTACTGAGACTGAGACCAATTATCTAATGAGATAAAGCTTGCTCTGCCTGTGCAAATAGTTATACCTGCCAAATGTGATTTAGTATTCAAGATCAAGAGTATAAAACTCGAATCCCTCCCTTGAAGGGAATCTCTTTGAGATGGTATTATCTGTGGATTTCTGCGTTGGAAAAGCCATCAGATTCACTGTCGCTGTAGCTGTATCGCATCAGCCCAATTTGGCTGCTGTTAGTCCCCTGTTCCCACCACCTTTAATTGTTACAATATGTTATCTTCAACAAGGAATATCTATAACAGAGTTGGCTGCTTGGATCGTATTCCACAAAAATTCTTGTTTCTAAATTCTCCATCGATATGTATTCTTCTCCTCCGAGAAGATTCCAAACCAAAAGCAGCCCGCAGAGTCGACAAACAACTCAATACAGAGAATAAATAAAGCAAAGACGAAACCAACAAGAAGATGGAAGCCACCATTATAAAAGATACACCAAGCTCAGAAGTTGATCAGCGTCAGTGTTACAGTAAATTATTAACGTCATCGAAGATGGCAACGAAACGCACCGTTGGTGTGGCTGTGGACTTCTCTCCGACGAGCAAATTAGCACTCCAATGGGCTCTCTACAATCTCATCGACAAAGGAGATCGCCTCATCCTCATCAACGTTCAGCCTCCCCACTCTGATCACACCAGCAAGCAGCTCTTCCACGACACTGGTTCACGTACCTACTCTTCTTCGAAACTATATATAATAAGGCTTTGTATATCAATGATCTGTTCAGGCTTTGATCGATCTTCGTATATGGCTTCTGCAGCTTTGGTGCCTCTGGAGGAACTGAGAGAGATGAACTTGGCCAAGCAATATGGGATTCCAAGGGACGCTGAAGTGATCAATATCCTTGACACTGCCTCCAAAACCAAAGGGGTATTTATTATTTTATATATTGGTTTGCTTGCTGCGTGTTTCTAGTCAATTTAATTGAGAAGACAAGAAGCATTAGAAAGAAGGACGTAATTAAAAGCCTGAAATAAGGCGGTAATTAGTTTAAAAATGATTAGAGACACAAGTGGTGTTGGGCAGTGTAGGGTATATGTATTGAAGTGAGTGTTGGGGATGGAACAGGCAAAGATAGAGGCAAAGGTGTATTGGGGAGATCCAAAGGAGAAGCTGTGCAAAGCTGTTGATCAGCTTCTGCTTCAGTCTTTGGTCGTTGGCAGCAGAGGTTTTGGTCCCATTAAAAGGTACGTCCATAACACACTCTCTTCACGATTTATTAATTTTTTTATAATTTTTTATTTTAATAAATATAAATTAATACTTTAAATATGGATCATTCATATTTTAATATGAATATATATTGTTCACATCTCATCATTCTAATAAGCATCATAATTCAAATTTTAACCGTCGTACTCTCCCGAAGATGAACTTTTTCTCCCATCTTTCAAATTATATTAGGAGAATTTTATTATTGGACCAGTGATGTGACATTGTTGTAATTCACTCCAAAACCAAGAGATTTAATTTTAAAAAAAATTGAAGGGAAATGACCATAATGTGGTTGACGGTTATCCAACTACCAGAGCTCCAGTGAAATAGAATTTTAAAAAAAAATTAAAAAAAAAGACATTGTAGTCATTTTTCTTCAAATTTTTTTTTCAATTAAATCCTTTAATAGTTTTTCCTAATGTAAATTTTTAGAATTTATTGAAACTGATTTAAAATAATGTCACGTCATTGTCCTATAATGAAATTCTCCTAATTATGTTATTGATGGAAATTATTATTATTATTATTATTATTATTATTATTTATGTCATCATCAGGGTGTTGCTGGGGAGTGTGAGCAATCACGTGGTGAAGAATGCATCTTGCCCGGTTACAGTCGTCAAGGGAAGCCCATCTCCCACTTGCAGGCGCTGAAGCTTAATTATTGAATTCAATATATAATTTGTATATTCCCCTGCTGTTGGATTTCCATCTCTTATAAGTACTTTTGTCTGTTAAATTTAAATAAGGTTTTCTTTTCCTTTTTTTTAATGTATAGTGTGTAAATATTTTGTGTGTGTGTGTATATAATGACAAAAAAAATTGTTTTTATCTTTTTTCTTTTCTTCACATATATGTGGCTATATACATTCCTATCATGAGTTAACTTAATGAATTAAGTTCTACTTAATACATATTTATTTTGCTCGACAAATTTATGAATAGATTAGCATGATTTTATAAATTGAAAACATAAAAAGAATACACTCAAGGAGTTAACTAATGAGTTTAATTGAATTTTTATTTAGTTCAAATTTATAAGTAATTTAATCTAATTTTATAAACTAAAAATGTAAAAATGATAAATTTATAAAGTCATTTCAAAAGTTTGACAACAATGGATGATTGGCTTAATTTGAAAAAAAATTACATGAAAGTAGTATAGATTTTGTTATTTTACTCCCTCTAAACTCTAGCCACAAAATTTTGCACCCTTAGAGATCTAGATTTTTTTGTGGGAATTTGTAATGTTTTAACTTTAACCATTTTGAATCAACTAAATCTAAAACTCTAACATAATGTTTATAAAAGAATATATTCCCTCTCATCTTAATTATATTCCCTTTGTAATAAAAAATAAGAAGGTTGGAAAGTATAAAATGTTGTGGAAATCTCAATTAACTAGTATAAACTATTTATTTATACAAATGAATCTAATATGCCTATACAAAAATTCATATACAAAAGATAGAGATTAATAAAACTTTTAATCTGTTGGCCAAAAAAAAAAAAAGAAACTTTTAATATAAAAAAAATACTTCAGCTATCAATTTAACCTTTCAAAGACTAAGGTACGATTTCTTACATTGAGGGTATTTTAGTCACATAAAAATATTTTTAACTACAAAAAGGACCATAGTCCCAAAATTCAATTTTAACATTTTGTGGTCCTGAATAGTTATTTTTCATTTTTACATGTCCTAATCTGTGATGTTCTCATGTGTGTGTGTGTGTGTATTATACACATGAAGTCATTGTTAATCCTCTTTGTAAACAGATATGGACATCAATATAGATATATCTTTTTCATTAGAAATTATTTAAAAATTATATTTAATTTAGATGATTTTATAATTTTAAAGTCATTAAAAATATAAAGACAAAGGGGCTTTGAGGTTTAAGTTTACGAATATAAGCCCACAAAAAAAAATTCTTGAGAACTAAAATCACTAGCTAGGCTGGGGGAATTAAGTAAATAAAAAATAAAAAATAAGAAATATCATATCTAAACAGCTTCAATAAAATTAGGAGTTCATCGCCTCACGGAGCCTCATCCTCAGCATCAATTGATTCCTTCATGATGGTACCTATGGGCTGGCATTGCCCAGAATCTACTTTACTTAATGGGCCTGTTGTTTGGTTCTTGTTATCTTCTTTATAATCTTTTAACAAAAAAAAAAAAGAGGTTGAAGTGATGCTCACTGGTAGAAGCTGGAAGGTCCTATACATGTCCCTTTGTAATTAAAACCAGATAAGAGTAGGTCGAAGAGTATAAAATGGTGTTAAAGTCCTAATTAACAAGTATGAACTATGATACAGATAAATCTAAGCATATTGTCACGGGCTGAGAGTCTGGCGCAGCACACGGCGCCCGTGCGGCGTCCTGGAGGACCCCATAATCCTCAGGACAAGCCTTACCACGTACGGATCACACTGGTTTCGCCCTGCCATGGGCTCATCAGGGAGGCGGCACTAGCCCCCGACCAGTTGTGCACACAGTCCGAAGACTGAGGCAGAACACCCCCAATGCTAATGTCGCCCCCTTTACCCATATTGTGCGAGGCTAACCAGCGGACCGTTCATTATCTTAGTCTTTACACGGTCACGGAAATATCATCCGTGACATTCTCCCACACCCAATCTAGCACGCCCTCGTGCTAGGGGAGAACGACTCCGCCCAAGGATCGTACGTACAGTACTGCCACAAACACATCAGCTTACTGCTGAGTGGCCACCCGAGTCCTGCACTCTTCGGACCCACTCGCACCCGCGAGCCAACAGGAGTGGAGTCGACAACGGCCAACCTTCCCGCCCGAGTCCCCACTTTTGGACCCACCTGCTCGGAGGCCTTTCTGGAGCGGTGCCGAGGCCGACCAGTCCCAACGTGGGACCCCACGCGCACACGACAGTAAAGTACGTCCTGCTCTGATACCACTCTATCACGGGCTGAGAGTCTGGCGCAGCACACGGCGCCCGTGCGGCGTCCTGGAGGACCCCATAATCCTCAAGACAAGCCTTACCACGTACGGATCACACTGGTTTCGCCCTGCCATGGGCTCATCAGGGAGGCGGCACTAGCCCCCGACCAGTTGTGCACACAGTCCGAAGACTGAGGCAGAACACCCCCAATGCTAATGTCGCCCCCTTTACCCATATTGTGCGAGGCTAACCAGCGGACCGTTCATTATCTTGGTCTTTACACGGTCACGGAAATATCATCCGTGACAATATGCCTTTATACATATATATATTGAATTACAAACTGATAAGGCAAAAGGCTAAAATAAAGGTTGAAAAAGGAACAAGAGGGTAATTATCCCACATCATTGAAACTGAATCTAAGATCATAGTCTATGATGGCTAAACAATAAAGGGATGGTTCCATCGCACTGCATTGCGTGCAAGCCAATTTGTAAAGGTCATTGATTCCCTAAACAAGTGATCATAAGAAACCACCTAATATTGAGTCAGTATTTTCTTAATATCGTTTAGCAAAACTAAGAGCCGGGTGAGTGATCCTAAATCTTTTGGATATTCTCTATGGCTGCCATTGAATCAACAAATAAATTAACTTTCGTGAAGCCAATACTCCTACAAAGATTTAAAACCTTCCCTGATACTTAACATTTTTGCAATAGTACGAGGAAAGTAACCCAACTTCAACATGAATCCGCCTCTTTGGCTACCATCCTTATCAAGTATAGGTCTACCATAAGCAGCTTCCCCATCTTGGGATTATATCTAACCCAACTTGGATAACTTACAAAAAATAAAGGATCATGAAACTTTTAGTCCCTTAAATTTTTTTTATTATCGATTTTATTCCTCAAATTTAATTTTTATCAATTTATTCCTTTAAATTTGTCTCATTTATTGATTTGATTGTTATTATTTAAAGAGAAGGTAACACTATTAAAATTTACTAATATGAATAATGGAATATTTGATAATAACCGTGTAAACTAATAAAAAGAACTATAGGCAAAAAAAAAGACTCAGAAATTTTTAAAAACAAAAAATGGAGCACAATGGATTGGATTCATAAAAATTAAACTGATTTGAAGGATAATTTATTTTTGTTTAGCTATGTGTACAAACAAAGTCATTAATATACTTTATATATTATATTAATTTGAGAGTTAATTTATATTTTAAAACTTATAGAACTAATAAGATAATTTAAGAAATGATAAGGATCAAATCAATAAAAATTAAACTTGAATAACCAAATTAATAATTGAGACAAACATAGAGAATTAAAAGTTTTGAGACAAACATAGAGAATTAAAAGTTTTGATACAAACATAAGGGACTAAAAGTTTTATTATCCCCAAAAGATAATATTGATAAAGTCAACACACGCACACACATGCAAACGCATACTATTTTAGGGTAAGGGCAAATTGACTTCTAAAATATAGGTTTAGAAATATCTGAAATTCTAAGTTTATTGCAGATAAGAACCCAAAAAATTATAAAAAATAATCAAGAAAATTTTATTGCCCATTTTTTTTGTAAGTTTTTAGGTCTTTTCTATTATTTTTTGCTCAAGTAATAGTAAAGTTAATTTTTATTAATGGTATGGTTATATTATATTGTTTTCAAAAGTTGAAAGAAAACATTACATATTTAATGAGTTTAGAATATCAAATGCTCTTAAATCTATAGTTTAAATGTCAATTTGCTCTTTTATCCATTTATTATAAAATTTGATTTCCTTGAGATGACTTTCAAAGATTTAAATTCATCATATTTTCTCCTATACTCTTAGAAATTAATTTTAAGATTTGAAATTGAGATTTGTTTTCTTGGATTTTAATTTACTCTAGCAATTATTTTTTCATGTGTATGTAAATAATGAATCTCACATTCCTTTCCAGAAATATATAGCAAATTGTTGTGGCATGTAAAATATATCTTTTAATTTTACAATACCTATATGAAAAAACATCTATCATATTACAGAAGTAAGCCAATACAATTAATCAAATCTATAATCAATCTAAGAAGATTGCTTAATCAGAAGCATTTTAAAAATAAGTGTTCATGTGGTTCTTCCTCTATCTCACAGAAAGCGCATGTATTGTCAATCACTTACTTCTGAGTTTTTTTTTTAAATAATCCTTCCATATTTATATATAAAATATTTTTAATCAAATTTTATATGATAAAAGTTTGTTATTTAGTTGAAATTGCATAAAATCATAATGATTTTTTAATTTTACTCCTAATAATGCCACACTTAATATTATGATAATGGTGAGTAAAGCAAATAATTAATTTTTTTATTTTTCAAGATGAAGGAAAAATTATCTAATTTCTTAAAAGTATCAAAACACCTTTTATATATATAGGAATGAAGAGGTATTGTTTTGCAAGTAATCTTCCTTTCAAGGCTAGCCAAATGTTAAGTGTTTGGGTACATTGAATTTGCCCCATGCATTTTTTGTCCACTTAGCTATGACTTTATTTCCCATTAGCCATTTATATCCAGATTTCACAATATAATTTCCATGGTTGTTTTTTTTTTTTTTGAGACTATTTACCTCCTTTAAATCCTGCTTTCATTTCTTTTCTATTCGAGCGTAAAAATAATTACGCTTAAATCACATGAACGAGTGTTCTTCGGTTTACATGGCAAAAAAACTTGAAAAAAAATAAGCTACTACTCTATTTGGTATACATAATCATTTTTAAACATATCTCCACCGTTAATAACATTGTTAATGGACATATGCATGTGGAGGACGGATTTTCTAGTAAAAAAATTATAAAGACTAACAATGTGAATGTTGTCCAAAAAGATGTAAATGTTGTCAAGTATAACAATGTGTTG